AGTGTACAACTCATAAAGAAAGAATGAAACTGTGAAGAATACAAATAAAAATGTTCCATCTTGTCAGTAATGAATAAAATGCTCAGTACATGATGAGAGTATGTCAAAACTACGGGGGAGACAGTTTGAAGTTGTCCAAATGGCCGAATTTGAACAAAGAGAGCAGTAATGATGATTGTAATGGACTAGAACCCTAGGAAAAATTAAGTAAGTATGCATGTCTCTGTGCTGATTTAAAGAAATAATTAAATATGCAAATCAGGGTGGATGCACAGTTTCTCATTAAAGTAGAATTCCAATTAATAAATGGAGATGGAATAATAGAAATGCAATATCAACAATGCTGACCACCATAGTAATATTTGCTGCAAGAAAAATTATCAAGGGATGTTAAAATTAATATATGAAAATATGATAAAAAGCAGGTTAATTGTATAGGCTCAAACTCTCCCCCATAATACTTATTAATTATAAAAGGGAAGTCATAGGGAGAAACCTGTCCAGACCAGTTTCACCAAGTGATCAACGTTGATCTCATTGATAATGAAAAGTATCAGTATAAGCGACTGGTTGATGCTGCGCCCTGAGAACAATGTCATGTTGTATCTGTGGTCTCTTAGCTAAAATTTATTCATGAAAACACATCAAACAAACCCAGAGCCAGGGACATTGACAAAATAATTGGCCTGTGATATACAGACATGCCAATATCTTGAAGGAAAAATCTCTTCCCAATTGGAGATGATAAATGAGACATTAAATTAAATGCACTGTGGATCTTCCTCCCAAACAAGACAACAGAAAGCGGTGTGTTCAGTGATGTCTGTGGATGAGTGAATAGTACTGTGTAAGTGTTAATTTCCTGATTTTGTTAATTTCCTGATTTTGATGCTTTCATTTTGGTTATATAAGATACTAACAGTTGAGAAGCTATACAAGGGAACTCTTTATCTGAGTTTTGCAACGTTTCAGTATTCTGGAATTATTTCAAAATGCAAAGCTAAATTTTTTTTCAAAGACAGTAATTTCTTGTTAACTTTTGTTTTGAGAATCTAATATAATTAGTCTTGCTCTTTGGAAAATGACCTGTTCTAGGTTTTTTTCTATGCTACCTGAACATTAACTAATGTATCTCACTAACTATCCAATGCAGGATCAAAATAAACAAAAAAAGAAAACCAGTATTTTAAACAGTCATTTCTTAAAATTTAAATAGGTGCTTTGAAAATAAAGTGAGAGGCCAGTTTCCTGTCCCAGGAGCCTTCACAGTCTAAGAATAAGGGGGACATGTATGTATGGAAAGTTCACTACATGAGATGCCCAAGCAACTTGTAGGTCAGCAAGTGCTTTGGTGTCCAGAGAAAAGCGTTCAGTGGGGAGATCCTATCACAGCGCGCCGTTGGAGGGGTCACCCAAGCTTGCTTGTTTGTTTTAATTTTATGACCCTAGTTGTTTTATCTGGCATCTGGTAGGAGCAGGGGAGAGATTGAAAACCTTTCTGATGTCCTGGCATAACTTGAACCATCAAATGAGTCCATTTGGTCCATGTTGTCCTTGAATTACACGCTTCATCAGAGCCTCCAGATACTTGATAGCACTGCATCTCAACGGGATTGTTAAAGCCACAGTTATGTTTGATTCTAAAGGGCTTTATTTTCACTGATAGAAGTTGGACTCAACGAACTATACTTTCAATGAATATCTAATTTTTGAAACAAAACAGCTCTTTTCCATAAATGTGTATAGGATGGAGGGAATTTATGTATGTATGCATCTATGTATACTTGTCTTATATATGTACATATATGGATGATAGTAAAACAAACTTAGATAATCATAAGCCAAATCAGTATTGCACAAGTAAGTTTTTCTTACTCCTTTTTCAAATATACCTTCTTCATTAGAGCTCTAAGGAACAGACACACACACACACACGCAATTTGCTTTTATAGTGCAATGAAGATACACTCCAACTTTGCTAATAGGCTGTCATTGTATAGCTAGATATTAAAAGCACGATGGTACTTAGAAAAATCTTTATTTAATCTCTCTTCTCCATTTTTTAAAGGGATATCATAGCTTAGCTTCACACATTCTTGAAAAATAAATGCAACAAGACAAAAATTGCACTTCAGCATGAAAAACACAACAAAGAACAGTGTCATTTATCTCCTGTCAGAAAGCATTTTTGAAAACACATCATCCAACCTTGTGCAACTTCAAAGAAGTAATCATTTTTCAGTAAGAGAATTTTAAAAGCCTGTAGTATAAATATTTATCATCACACAAATGACTCTGCATACACGGTGAGCATAACAAACACGCTTTCCTGGTACATCTTATAACTAGGCAATTGTCAGAAACGCACTTTTGTGCTGGGCATTTGAGGAACGTTACCATATGGTAAAGGGTGTAGCTGTGATTCCTATATAGTCGTTTGGAGACAGTTTGCCTCTACTCTGAACATAAATTTGAAAGAGTAACATTTTTGGTTGGTTTCTAATTATGCCAAGATGTCCTGCACATCGAATGCTATAAAGTGGAAAAGCTGCACTGCATTATTAGGAGTTACGCATGGCTTATAGTGAGTGGGTTGGCATTTATATTTTCTTTAAATTGCTGTTTCTTTACATCACATGCTCATATTGAGATATAATAGGTTGGAAGAATAAATGCAATTTGAAACTGTATAAGAAGATATTAGTCAGCGAAGCCATTTTTTTCCTTCTTGTTTCAAGAACAGATATTCTGGCAAAGTCTGAGGACATCAATCAAGAATCAGATAATCGTTGTGTTCCAAACATTGGGTCTGCGTCACTGTTGACAGATGTCAACACCTTAAAATAACAATATCACCACAAATTTGCCCAGAGAGCATATTCTTCAAGACTTCCTTCAAGTAACAAAGTAAGTTCTGGTTTATTGGAGAGAAAGAAAACAACGATTAAATTCAAAGAACATGGAAGAAATTCAATTTAAATATTAGACATAATTACTTTTCCAGGTTTTAACTAACATATTTAGATGTACAGTACAGTTTTTATATATAAATTCACAAATAATGCTCCTCCATGTAGTGTCTAAGGCACTCTGTACGATGTTTTCCTCCCATAGGACAGAACAAAAAAGGTACTCTAATCAAAGGACAGTTCCCTGAATGTCAGCCTCTCCCTCCCTTGACAGGGGCATAAGAAAAGCAAATGCATAATGCCTGGCACATAGTAGCTAGTACCTTGAAGAAAACAAGTAACTTCATGCTTTTTCTTCACAGCAAGGACAATTTTTTTTTAAATACCTGTTGTGAACAGCTAGTTTTTCCTTTTGATGTTTTTTTGTCTTTATTTCAATATATTGCTGACATTTTTGCAATAATTACACATTACTCTTACCAGTTGGATGGCTCTTGCCTGAGCTAGGTCGTGTGCTTGCACTCACACACGTGGTAAGACAGCTGCACGGGGCCTGCTCTCCAGCTCCCGAGAGCTCCCTACCTCCTGGGGCTTCTCTGCGCTGAAGGTTCCTGCCTCCCCATCAGCCCAAATGCCAGACGCCTTTTGCTCAAACCTGCACAGTCACCAGCTGTGGTGTCTCTCCCTGCTGTGCTGTGTTCTGGAAATGCCTCCTTGTAGCAAACTGGTAGGAGTAGGGCTCGCCTCCTTTATTCCCTGCCTCTCAGGGACCACAGTTCTGCTCTGCTTGTTAACGTGATGTCTAGGAAATGTTGATTCATAGGGATTATCTGGTTTCCAACTGATGAGAGAAGGAAAATTCAGCTCCTGACGGTATAGATGAGGGAACAGGAGCAGATGCTTTAAATAAGTTGATGCCAACAAATATGACAACTTGGATGAAATAGACAAATTCTTCAACAATGCCATTGACATTTCAAAATACCATTTATAACATACTATGGATGAGGCAGACAGAAAAAGAAGTAAAGCATTTGAGTAGTTTTATGTCTGTCAAAGAAATAAAAAACACACATTATAAAAGCTTGCCCAAGAAGAAAACCCCAGATCAATTAGTAATTCTTCTTATCAGATAAGAAGAGATCCCTTCAGTTTTAAGTAAAATCTTCTAAAGAATAAAAATAGAGGGAGCACTTCCTAAATCTTTTTTAAGAGGCCAGTACGGTATGGTTACTAGAACCTGAAAAAGACAGTATGTCACAGGAAATTATGGACAAATTGTTTTATAATCATACACAAAAATCCTGAAGAAATAATCAATTCTACTACGGTGACGCCTAACAGGAATAAGTGACACCCGAGTGGGGTTCACCTCGGAAACACTTGGGTGATCTAACATTCAAAAATCAATGTACTTTACTTTTTAACAGAAAAATCATGCAGGAAAAGGATTGGACCAAAGGAAAGCTATCAGCATACAATGTGTGCTTAAATTTTTGCTACTTTTTAAAAATAGGATAAAAAGTTTCATTGTCATTTATTTCCTGACCAATCAGGAAAAATTGTATCAGTATTTATAGTAGCAGAAAAATACTTCAGGTATTTTTCCGATAAAACAGATAATTGAAGATCTCTTTACATTCGATATACTTTTATTTGTTTTATATTTTTAGAGAATTCTTTATTTTTATTAAGCTGTTACACTTCATCTGGGGACGACTTCATTGAATTGTTTCAAAAGGTCAAATATCATGCACCTTTATAAAATCATGTTTCTATTCTTCACTAAAAGTAAGGTCTGAAAAAAGAATTCTTATTTTGATCAACTATGTACCTCCAGCACTTAGTAGACTGCCTAGGAGATAACAGGTGTTCAATTAATGGTTTTGGGATGAGAAAACAAAGAAGTGGGACAAAATGATTTTCCCTGCCTGAAATAAAATTAACATTACGTACTTACAAAGTATTCAATATTAAGATACAGATATTGTCTTTTTTACCAGAATGTTATCCTGAATCTCACACTGAATTTTCTTATTCTTTTTCTCAGTTTCCTCTAATCTGTGAGAATTCCTTCATTTTCTCATTTTTAAAATCATTCTGACATTTTTAAAGAGTACTGATTAGTTATTGTGTAGAATGCCTTCAATATAGGTTTGTCTGATGTATTCTCATGATGGTGAGATTATGTATTTTTGTCAAGAATGCCACAGAAATGATGCTTGTACGTTGGGGGTTTGTCAGGACGTTGTCCTCAGGGTTTCATGACNCAAGAAAAATTTAAATAAACTAATACACATTATTTTTAGAAAATGAGTATTTTCTGAAATGGTTTAAAATAAACAATATTGCACTTTCTTTTTCATACATTTTATAGATATATGTAACTTATTGATGGTCATTTAATGTTTATTGACCAGTTTCAGACTTACAGTATTATAAACATTTGCAGAGAAATCCTTTATATATATAAAATGAGTGTATATTTATGTATATATGTATATATATTTGCATGCTTGTGTTACTGTAAGTATAGGAAAAATTCTTAAAAGTCAAATTACTGTAAAATTTAAATAAATCCATACTGAATTAATTTATGTAATTAGCTTTCTATTCTACATATCAGCTTTCACACACATTTAAAAGGCTTGATGGGAAAACCTTTTGCAAGTGCAAATTTACTGTTTAACATCTCGTGTCTCAAGGACATAAATATCATATGCTAAATAAATCACATTATTTGGCAAAATAGTCATAAAAATATAATGATAAAAACCATATATATTTTTAAGAATAATAGAAAACCACAATTTTATTCTCTGATGAAGCTTATGTAGAAAATAAAGGTGCATTCTTGTGTTGCAACTATGCAAGTGCACTACCTAAGGTTCTGAATATTATCAGTTTTAATTGGAGAAAATTTGGCCTTTAATTGGAGAAAATTGGACCAGGAAGAGAATTACCCAATTCCCAAAACACTATACCCAGTTCTTTTAGGAATTTTTTTTTTTAAGTAAAGTAATGTAGTCTAAGCTTGTTTCCCCATATGGGATATGGTTATTGAGAGTTGCTTCAATTTAAATATCCACATATGGTTCAGGAAGGCCTGAAAAAGCTATGAACATTTATTTAAATTAGTAACATGTGGAGATTTTTTGTTTAAATGACTACTTAAAATAATTTCAGGAAATAGGTTCATGAGGCCAATCAGACTGGTTGCCAAAATAACTCGATATTACAACTTTTCTTTTTCAAAATATATGTTAAATCTGGATAAAAAATTCTAGTTGCCTGTGATAATCTTAGACTGAATATTATAAGTTTTAATGATAGTCAAGAGACATATTGTTTTAAATAGTGATATTGTAATTTAAAATATACCTAGAAAGGCATTCAAATATGGAGGAAGAGGTAAAGTTGTCTTTTTTCACAGATAACATGATCTTATATGTAGAAAACTCTAAAGGTTTTACCAAAAAATCAGAAATGAATTCAGCAGTTATAGAACACAAATTCAACACATAAAAAGCAGTTACATTTCTATGTACTAACAGTGAAAAATCTGAAAAGGAAATTAAGAAAACAATACCATTTACAATAGCATAAGAAAGAATTTAATACCTAGGAATAAACACTGCTGGGAGAAATTAAAGAAGGACCAATACACTAGAGGAGGCCCTGAGCTCATGGATTGGGAGATTTAATACTGTTAAAATATCAATACTTATTAATATTATAATTAATATAATAAGTACCAATATTAATACCACAGATTTGATGTAATTCCTGTCAAAATCCAGACTGCAGAAACAGAAAAATATTTTTCTAAAATTCATACGAAATCTCAAGGGACTCTGTTTAGACAAAATGGTCAGATTTGAATGATAAAACTCTTAGAAGATAAAAAAGGCAAAAATCTCTTGAATATGAACATGAGCAACTTTTTCCTGAATGCATCTCTTTGGGAATGAACAAATGGGACTACATCATGCAAAAAAGCTTCTGTACAGCAAATGACACTATCAGCAGAACAAAAAGGCATCCTACAGTATAGGAGAATATATTTGTAAATGACATATCTGACAAGGGGTTAACATCCGAAATATATAAAGAACTCATATGCCTCAGCACCCAAAAAGCAAATAACCCTATTAAAAAATGGGTGGATGTTATGAACAGACAATTTTCCAAAGAAGAAATTCAGATGGCCAACAGGCACATGAAAAGATGCTTTACATCGCTAATTATCAGGGAAATGCAAGTTAAAACCACAATGAGATACCATCTCATGCCAGTTAGGATGGCCAACATAGAAAAGAATAAGAACAACAAACACTGGTGAGGATGCGGAGAAAGGGGAACCGTCCTACCCTGCTGGTGGGGATGTAAACTAGTTCAACCATTGTGGACAGAAGTATGGAGGTTCTTAAAAACACTAAAAATAGAAATGCCATTTGACCCAGGAATTCCACTCCTAGGAATTTACCCTAAGAATGCAGGAGCCCAGTTTGAAAAAGACAGATGCACCCCTATGTTTATCACAGCACTATTTACAATAGCCAAGAAATGGAAGCAACCTAAGTGTCCATCAGCAGATGAATGGAAAAAGAAGAAGATGTGGTACATATACACAATGGAGTATTATTCAGCCATAAGAAGAAGAAAACGAATCCTACCATTTGCAACAATATGGATGGAGCTAAAGGGTATTATGCTCAGTGAAATAAGCCAGGTGGAGAAAGACATGTACCAAATGATTTCACTCATTTGTGGAGCATAAGAACAAAGCAACACCTGAAGGAACAAAACAGCAGCAGAATCACAGAACTCAAGAATGGAGTAACAGTTACCAAAGAGAAAGGGACTGGGGGTGGGATGTGTGGAAAGGGAGTGATAACAGGAATAAAGGGCATTAAGATTAGCATACATAATTTGTCTGGGGGGCCACGGGGAAGGCAGTATAGCACAGAGAAGACAGGTAGTGATTCTATAGCATCTGACTACGCTAATGGACAGTGACTGTAATGGGATATGTGGAGGGACTTGATAATGGGGGGAATCTAGTAATCACAATGTTGCTCATGTAATTGTATATTAATGATACCAAAATAAAAAAAATTTTTAAAAAAGAACAAATTTGGAGCTATCACACTTTCTGATACCAAAAGGTATTTTACAAAGCTACATAATCAAAGCTGGCTGATGCCAGTAGAAAGAAAACCATGTAGATCATTTGAATAGGGTAGAAGCTCCCAAAGTATGGTGCCTGGAAAACTGAAAATTTACCTCAAAAGAGCAGCATTGGACACTTACTTGTACTATATACAAACTTTAAATCAAAATGGATCAAAGACATACATATAAGCACTGAAACTATAAAACTCTTAGAAGAAAGCATAAAGTAAAAGTTATAGGACCCTGGGTTTGGCAATGATTTCTTAGGGTTGACATCAGTATAGGTAACAAATGGAAAAAAGCCCCAGTAAATTGGCTTACATCTAAATGAAAACTTCTGTGCATCACAAGACACACTGATAGAGTCTGAACACAATACCTGGAATGGGAGAGAAATATTTGCATATCCTGCATCTGATAAAGGTTAATACCCAAACCACATAAAGAACCCCTACAACTCACCCCAAACAAGCAAAAGACTTAATTTAAAAATGGGCAAAGGACTTGAATAAACATTTCTCCAAAGAAGAATGGCCAAGAAGCATATGCAAAGATGTTTAGCTTTGTTAATTATTAGGGAAACGTAAATCAAAACCACACTGAGGTACCAGCTCATATTTGTCAGGATGGCCACTATTAAGACAAACAAACCAAAGAAATTAAGCGTTGGCAAGCATGTGGAGAAATCAGAGCCCTTGTGCTCTGTTAGTAGGAATGTACAAGGATGCAGCCACTATAGGAAAAGGTAGAGAGATTTCACAAAAAATTCACAGTAGAACTATCATGTGATCCAGCAATGTCACTTCTGGGTACACATCCAGAAGGACTGAAAGTGGAGATGCAAAGAGCCATATGCGCCCATGTTCACAGTATCATCATTTGCAACAGCCAACAGGTGGAAGCAACTCGAGTCCATCGATAAATACATAGATAAACAAAATTTGGCTTCTACATCAATAGAATAGTCTTCAGCACTGAAAAAAAAGAGGAAATTTTGACACAGGCACAACACTAATAAACCTTGAGGTCACAATGATATAGCAAATGAGCCAATCACGAAAGGACAAATACTGTGTGACTCCACCTTTATGAAATACTTAGTGTTCAGAGACAAGAAGTGAAATGGTTGTTAAGAGGGTACGGGAGGCAAATGAGGAGATATATTTAACAGATACAGTTTCAGTTTTGCCAGATAAAGGGTTCTGTAAATGGACAGTAGGATGGTAGGAAAACAACATGAATGTGCTTAGCCACTTAACTGAACACTTAATAATGGGCCACCTGGTACATTTCATTTTATATATATTTTACCACAGTTAAAATTTTAAAAATGATACTATTACTATTCACTTTTTGACACTGGGAGTCTAATATTCCAAGGAAATCACATGTTAAATTTATGTTAGGGAAAGAAAAGCTTCCCTTCCTCATCGAAAAAAAAAATTTTAAATGTTGTTATTATGAACATTAACATTTTTGAGAAAATGAGATGATTGGATATAAGTTAAAATTTTATGGCTTTTACATTAGAAAAAGAATCCAGTGTTTTTGAAGTGATTTATATTAAGCCTCTTATTTTTATTAACTTAGATAACATGAAATTTCTGGTGATAACTGTCATGATTTGTTTCTGTTTTTAGATTTATCCATAGCATTCCACATGCATAAATTTCATGTAAAAAAGTCAGACAGAATACCTCACTATGGACTGAGTCACATCAACTGAGCAGAACATAGTGAAGGAAGGTGAGCGATAGCAAGTGTAATATTTTTTGTTTCAAATATATGAATTATCTTTCAGAGAAAGTTTTCTAAAGTCATATTTTAATTTAGTTTCTAATATTAACCTATTTTTATTTCACAAAAGAGCTAAATTAAAGGTGAAATGTCTTTTATAAACAGTATTTGAATACTTGAAATATCTAAAATTACAAGTTAGTGTTTCACTATGTTTTGATACACACACTGAATGTTATATAAACTCAGTGGCTCTGAGTGTATTTTTAATGATTAATATGGTTTTCTGGATATGTTCCCCCTAAGAAAAAGCCTCTCTTTTTATTTCCCTATAGATCCTATATACACAATAATGGGCATTTCTTTAATAAAACTTTTATTATTACTTATAAAACTTATTGCATGAAGGCATCATGAAAATTTTTCTACTTACTGATTTTTTAAACATTTGGTACTTATTCAAGCATTTTCTTATTTCTCTTCCATGACATACAGTTTTTATTTTGAATTTTATAAATGCTCTAATTCCTTCGTTGATTTTATAAGGTGAAAGTCAAAATAATACACCAGTAAACTAGAAATGATTTCCAGTCTTAATCAGAATAGAATTTTCTTTCCTTTTTATAGCATATTTTTAAAGTACCAAAGTGAACCAATTTTGCAATTATTATACAAGTTTGGGCTTCTCTTTTTATTCACAAATTTAAGAATAAACCTTCAACAGAAATTTTATCTCTCAGATAAAGCATATTTCACCTTTTGAAAGAAAAGGTGGAACAATTCATTCTAGACTTTGGATTCAGTTTTCACAAATCTGCATCACATTTACCAGTGAAGATTTTGTAAAGGGAAGTCAAAGTGTTTTGTTGTTAGTTTCTTATTATTCTGGGAAAATGTGTGGGATAGGATCTCTCTAGAATAATATTGTTTTCCTTTAGGTGATAAAGCAAAAAGGACCCAGAATTCTGAATTTATATTCTCAATGACAATAGAGGAAATGATTCATTAGACAATTATGAAATATGATAATTTCTTCAAAGAAATGAAGTCTTGTATTTAAAGTTCTCCCTCTCTCTCCCCCTCCTCTTCCTTCTCTCTCTGTCTCCCTCTCTCCCTGAGGAAAGACCTCATGAGGTCAGAAGTAGAAGGTGGCCAGCTGTATACAAGCTAGGAAGAGAGCCCTCACCAGAAATTGAATCAACCAGCACCTTGAACTTGGACTGCCAGCCTCCAGAACTGTGAGAAGATGAATTTCTGTTGGGTAAGCCACCCAGTCTAAGGTATTTTATATGACAGCTTGAATTGACTAGTTGAGGGACTGCATCAATTTTTAAAATGTGGTGAATACTAAAGGCTACTTTGAATGAGTGTATCATGCAAACACTATAAACTCAGCTGTTAATGTTAAAGTCATGTAATTCAGAAAAATGTTTACTAAACAGATCAAGAATATTCTGGAACAACAAAATCTTGCAAGATAGATACAATTTAGAGCCAATTTTCCCAATAATACAAGTAATTACCATTAATCTTCAGTGAAGAAGGACAAAAGCCCAGTAACACAACACACCATGGAATGACAACTGATCTCATGTCAAACTATCAGGGTAGACATTCTTACCTAAAATTTTCCCATTAAAAATTCATTAATAACCTCAATTATACATAAGTCATTCTTAAGTTAACTAAACTGAGTGGAAATCAAGTAGATGTTGCAAAGTTTTGTAGTTCAAACTTGACAAAACCCTGTGCCTAGACCCTCCTACACCACATACACACACACAATTACTGAATCAATCTAATTTATATTTATTTTTACACTGGATGCTAAAAATTTCTCGAATATGACTAAATTCATTACCATATGGATATTTGCCTGCCCTGTGAACCCAGGAAGCGAAAAGAGAGGATTTTTGCCAAAGTGGTTAGTCAGTAACCAACTATAGGAAACAAAACAGTTGGTTACAGCTGTCAACTGTTAATGGCCCATATGTAAGGAAATAAAATTACAGACTATAAATTTATTGAAGGAATGGAAAGCCATTTCTCTGTAGAAAGCTTTCAGTGATGTTATCGGTGTCCCTCTCACAGTTGTGCATGCCTCATAAGACATAGTTTGATCTCACATAATGAAAATAGTATAAATGGAAAATTGTCAATAATCCACTACTAATCATGGGTGCATTACTCATGCATAGATGCATTAATATCAACTTCACCTGCTCAATTCTTATCCTGATTTTATTCCTCTCTGCAGATAAACAGATTAAGAAGGACAAAGGAAAATAAAGAGGCTACATTCAATGGAGAACTACTTATAAACAGAGCTCCACTTGATGTCATGGCTGTAGATGAATCCTTTTACGGAAAGGGTTGATGTAAATTTAAGTGTTGGGCACCATATTGCCTTTATTTCAGCTGCTCAGCTCTGCCTTTTGTGAAAGGGCCATGGATCGTAGACAGCGCAGTGAGCGTGGTCCTATTCCAAGGAGGCTCTGTTTATAAACGTGACCATCCAAATCTGGACCAAGCCCTTGATTTGGTGACTACTCTTCTGAAGGAACAGCAGTGTTGAAATTAGCAAGGGGGCTAAACACTGGGGATGACACAGATTTGGTGAAAGATGTTGGTCCCTGTTGAAGAGGAAGACTGAGTTTCAGTCTAGTGATGTATCAGCCACTCAGAAGGGTGAAAAGACTGGAGAAGGACAATAGGGAACCTCTGCGTCCCTTCTCTAAGCGGTTTCTGCCCTTCAGGAATTTCAGGTGGCTGGGGGAGACACCTGAACACGGCTGTCTATGATGAAAGGTGGCCTGTAATTCTGACACTAAAGCATGAAAGGATCTATGTAACTCCAGATGCAGGAATTATTTATGAATGAAACAAGAAGCATGCAGAGGACTCAATGAAGCTGCTGGTTTTGACCTGGCAGTTGGCTTTGCTTCTCTGGGACCCTGGCCTTGCAGCAGCCACTATGCCGAAGCTCGATTACCTCACTGCTTTGTTGATTTGTTCATAGGCCTGATTCCTATTCTGTATGCATGTGCACTACCTTGATTTAACTCAGCAGAAACACATCCTCTTCAGCATCTGAAACCCAGGATTATGGTATATACCTGAGAAAAGAAAGGGGCTCTTCTCGAACTGACCACACAGAACCAGAAACTGACGAGCAAAGGAGCACAGATTTTCTCCCAAGTACCGTGCCAATTGATTCACTAAAAGGGGTACTCAAGAGAAACTGGGAAATAACTGCAGAATCCATACATATTTTAGCTTATTTTTAAGCAAACATGATCTGTATGGGGTGCTCATGTAATATAGCAAATTAAATAATTTTCAAAAAATGTTTTGGTTGTCTTCATAAAATATTGAGAAAAAAAACACGTGGAGGAAAAAAAATCCTGAACCAATGAGATCCCATCCAAAAAACTAGCTGTATTTTTTTTTAAAGAATAGTGCCTCTTTTCTGAGCCAGAAATATTGTCTTCTGAGTTTTCTACCAGCGCTACACATGTTTCCATGGCAAATAAGCAATAAAGAATAGGAAAAGAATATCAAATATTTTTTAAAAATTTGCCTGGCCAGAGTCATTCCTTCATGTGTTCCTTATGTACACATACAATAACTCTTCAGAAAGATAATATGCAGCAACCACGTGTTAGTTTCTGGGAATGTCACATATTGTGGGTAAGGTGGACAATTAAATAAGCTAGTATGATATAGTGAGGAATACGTGAGCTTTAGCAATCAAGATAATTCAGTTATTCCATCTCTTAAATGACCATGAATCATTATAAATCCCCTCAAGTGAATATTGCTTCAACAAATACTAGTTACTATGACACCAGGCAGAGTGCTTGATGCTGAGTAACCAGCAGTAAACATGAGTTTATGGTTCGGTGGAAGCAAGCTGCTGGCAGAAACAGGAGAGCGTCAGCCAGTATAATAATTGCAGGTGTAGAGGAAAATAAAAGGGGGCGTGCACCCCACCCTCAGAGCCCAGGATGCTGCAAGACAAGGAAGAAACATCAAAGCTGAGATTTGAAACACCCAGGGGCGTGGGGAGAAGGCACGGTGAGAAAGAGCATGAACTAGTCAGGGGACAGATAAAATATGACCTAACTAACTAGAATAAAAGGCAGTCTGTTCGTGCAGGCTGTACTCATGTGCTTAAGGGGGCAACAGGAACTCACGGGGCCTTCTGGAGACAGGCAGGGCTGCCCTGCTTCGGACAAACTGGGTTGGATTACCTGGGGCTTGAGTTACTTGGGTCACTGTGGGCCTGGTGTTACTTGATTCTCTTTTAAGACAAAAACAAACCTAAAGAGGCCGCTTATGGGCAGCAGTTAGGCTTCAGCAAAAATAGCTTTTATTGGAAAAGTCCATTCACTCCTTAGAGCCACTTATAACTACATGGTAGCTTTTCATTTTCTAGAGGGAAGGGAAGAGCATCCTCACCATTCAAACACCCGCATGCCACCCCAAGGAGAAACATCAAGAAAAGCGATCTCCATTACAATTTAAGCCGCTGTGCATACCAATGGGGCCATGGAGGGAAAGTTATCGATAGGGCATAAGCTTTATGGTTTACCCTGAGACATTTTTGGTATTTACAAATGGGTGCTGTTCAGATAATTGCAAAGAATCATTCTCATGAGAGATCCTAAAACTTTCTGGAGTTCATAAATCGCTAATAATTTTATGGAAATCAACACTTTACTGTGGCCCCCAAAATCCTTCCAGAGTATATTGCCCATGATCTGAGCTAAGACTAAAGTTTAATTCTCTTTACTATAAATTTTACTATTCATTTTTATTTAACAATGAATCTCTGTTTGCCACCAAAACACCAAAGACTGTTTCTGAAACTTTCCTTATAGGATAGTTGGCCTCTCAAAGCTTTTGAATCAAAATACTTTGGGCTTTATAACTTTAAAA